GATGATGGCGTATGGTTTTCTGGTGTGCCCATAGGACACAACACCTTGGGAAAGACGGTATCTCACTTATTCAGCATATTTGGCATCAAGGGCTTCAAGACAAACCACTCGTTGAGGGTCACTGCTGCAACTAGATTCTTCCATGCAAGAGTAGATGAGCAGCTCCTCATCATGAAGGGAACTGGCCACAGAAACATAGATGGAGTTTATTCTACAAAAGAATTGCTGATGATCAAAACAGAGAAATTCCAGAAATTCTCAATAACAAAAATGGCCCATCTAAGAAAAGGAAACTTGAAGTAGATACATGTAACAGGGATGAATGAATGTACTGAAATTTATTCAAAAACACCATTCATCCTCAATATAACTAATTGCAATAACGTATCAACATGAAGAAGAAATAGGAAAAAAGGAACTAGAAAAAAAAACTAAAGACATATCATAACAAATCATTCAACATAATTATTATAATCTTCGATTAAAATTAATTAACGAGGTTTATATTTTTACAAGCTAGGTTAATATAAAAAATAATTGACCTCCAATACATTTCAATGGTCAATTGCAAGTGGGCATGGTAGAAGTATACTTATGCAGTGCATATAATACTCATTTTGTCAATAGCATCACACTATTTGATATTTTTTGGACTTGAGGGAATAGTGGCTGTCACTAAGGCAAACAAGATAAGTAGCGGTTCTGGTGCCGGTGTTACAGAGCCTGGGCAGACATGCCAGGTAAAAGAAGGAAAAAATATATATGAAGGAATAGTGGTGACTTATAGTAAGAAAAAACACTTGCCCAGTGTTATTGGGGCGAGCCCCACATAAATGACACGAGTATGTAAGTTTGTACACGTATGTCACTCCTATTTATGAAAATAGAAAAAATTTTTAAATGTTTTTAAAATGATAATTAGAAATTATTGCGATACCACATGAAACTCAAGTGCAACTATAGAGAAGATAAAGAAGTTATCAAGATTCAACTCTACTTAACATGAATAGCTCACAAGAAGATGCTCGTGAAGCCCATCGTCTTCATCGTAATGAGCATGTTCAGGATAGGTGAAGGAATGAGCACATGTAAGCTAGTGTTGTGGCAAGACAATGTAGACAAGTTGGTGGTTGGTGATTCCTATGTTTTTTCAAATTTGCGAATTAAGAAGTTTACAGACGCACAATTTCTTTTATTCACTGTGGATACTACTTGGAATACGGTTGACAATATTGGCGAGGTATATATCAGACAAGCTGATGAAAATCCTCAGTATAACCAACTTACTATTTCTGGAGAAGTAGTGTCCATCACATATGATCAGCATCACAAATGCCCTGTATGTGATTGGAAAGTGAGTATGGCAGTCCCTCCAGATATTGTGAAGTGTAGCAATTGTGAAGTGTAGCAATTGCTCTGCTAAGTTCAAAGTGTCTAAAGCAAAGAAGCCGTCTATGGCAAAGGTGCAGATCAAGGATAATAATGGAGAGATGCATAAAATTACAATGTTTACTAATATTCTTTCTACATTGCTCAACATTGCTCAACCTCGTGAGACTATTGAAGAATATCTCTTGTGAATGGACAACATCAAAGTTCAAA